AAAGATAGCATCAACAAAAGAATCACCAATAGACACAGTACCTCTGACAAGGTTCGGAGCGCGGTCCAACTGCTGCTATCCAGTGTATACACTCTCCCAACAGAAGGTGGCACTGCAGGTGCCGAAGAAGATGCCATCGGAACCATCTGCAAAGGAACTGCCTGAACAGCTGCAGCTCTCGCCGTCGACGACGAACAATCTCTAGAGAAGTGGCCCTCCTTGCCATACTTGAAGCACAGCAACTTCCCCGTAGCACAGCGTCCCACATGCTCCTTCCCACATCCCGAACATCTCGGAGTGGTAGGAGGCCTAGCAGAACTCCCCTGATGTGAAACAGTTCTCTTGAACTGACCAGGCGCCTGCCTAGTCGCTAACTGCTTTCTCTTGCCCTTATCAGCAAACCTCCTGTCCTTCCAAGAAGTAGAAGCAGGAGTGGAACCACCTGTTCCCTTGCTCTCCTCAACCTTGGCCCTCTTGGCCTTGCTTGCCATGCAAACATCCTCGATGTCCTTACACTGCTGAACCAGTGTACCAAAGTCCCTCGAAGCAGCACCAGCAAGATGCTCAGCAATCACCTCACTAAGTCCCCTGCGGAACTTAGCTGCCAGAAACAACGGAGTAGGAGGAACCATCCGGAAGTGTGCAAACTTCACTAGCTCATTAAACTTAGCCAGGTACTCATCAACAGACATCGAGCCCTGTACCAAACGATCAAACTCTCCCTGCTTCCTCTCCTGCGCATCATAGGGAAAGTATCGGCCCAGAAAGCACTCCTCAAAGAATGGCCACCTCATGACACGACCCTGCCTCTCAAAAGCATGAGAGGTGTGCATCCACCACTCATGGGCATCGCCCTCCAGCATGTAGGTCAAGAACATCAGCTTCTGTGGGTCTGTACTCTTCATAACCCGAAAAATCTTGTCCAGCGACTCTAGCCATCTCGCAGCAGCAATAGGATCCAAAGACCCCTCAAACACGGGTGGCTTATGCTTCCTGAAAGCATTCAGCTGGCGATCGATCACATCACGATCCTCAGCAATCCCCACAAGGGGCTCCCCCGTCTCAGCGGCATGAGTAGCACTGCCGATGTGACTATGGCTCTCCTCCTGAACACTAGGTGGAGGCGATGGCGGTGGTGGTGGTGCCTGGCCAATAGCAGGACCATCTCTCATCTCCTCCAACATGACTCTCATCATCGTCGTATTCACCATCCTGTTCGCCTCGAGGACTTCCTCAGTGGTCCTCCGGTTCGCTCCACGAACCTCAGCTGCGGCTATCCGGTTCGCCTCGCGAACAATATCCATCATTGCCGCGTTGGAAAATCTAGTGGCCTCCTGATCGGCTAACCTAACCGCCTGCATCTCAGCCAATGCAGTCAGGATAGGATCAGGTTGATCCTCAGAAGTCTCTCGTGTTCTCCCGGACCTTACCATGACTCTGCACAAGTTACACAAATTATGAATTGATCAGGCCCACGCAATGTGATCACATATACAGCATCATAATAAAATTCGACGGAGTAAACACAAAGAAAGACACAACCAAACAACCTAGAAATTGCAATACATACAGGCTTTTCCCTCGAACCATTGCTCTGATACCATAAATGTAACACCCCGTATATATCTGGTAATGTTATCATAATATCGTATTAAGCTGCGCTTAATTAAAAATGCAGAATTACTTTTTCTTTTCAATTATGATGCCATTAACATTACCAACTTGCTTAATAGTCAATTAATAAAACATCGCCTGTATGTAATTGCAATAAAACAGCTAACTGAAATACCTCATAACATAGATAATAAAAGTGTGGCTCTAGTCACGGAACTATAACAATGTAGACTGGACCATCTAATAGTTTATACAACTCCAATCTAAAAAGTACTAACAGAGAGTGTCATGGACAATCCCCATGCTCACTCAAATAAGGAAACATGCCCAACATTAGTCTCAACAACAACATAATGATAAAAGGCATAAAACATAATCAGCATCAATATCCAGTCATGCTAACAAATAAGCAGAAACAACAAAATCAGCTAAGCTCCAGCCTCCTGCCGCCTGAGGCATCAGTACCCATACTACCTGATCCTGAAATAAGCATTCTCCAAACGTGGGGTAAGATCTCTAATCTAGAAATCTCAGTAAGTCAGTGAGTCCTCAAGGATCTTCCACCCCAAGCTCACTTACATGTGCAATATAAGTTCAAAAGCAGTTTATCATTTATCATTTCTAAAACAATGCAATGCAGCAGGTAATCATGCCATGTGTGTCAATACTAATCTACTGGCCAGACACAGTGCAGGTATACGTCTATCACCTACACACCGTGCAAGTACCACTTGCATTCACCCCGGTACACAGTCTTGTATGGCACTACATACTCAGGCTTCCCGTCAAGATGAAACAACACATGCATATTAAAAGCCATTACATGTAAAGTTCAATCAACATATCAAATATCCAAAAACATGTACACAGCATGCATAAACCATACCCCCATGGGACATGGTGGAACCACAACATGGCTAAACCGAGGACACGAAAAATTACCTTGCAAGCTAACTCCAAAAGCCAAGAGTCCACAGCTCAAAGTCCAAACACAGCAGATTCAAAATCTGTTATGGACCAAATATAAATCAATAACATGTACCACATGCATACAAATTAAAGACAATGCCTTTCCTTACGTTTTACGTCTTAACGCTCCATACCAAGCGATAAGTCCTTAATCACTTGATTCTGACTTAGTTTAATTAAAACAGCAGTTCAACTTCATCAATCTAGGGTCCACAAATCCCCAATAGCCTACTGTCCTCACAGCACAGCTACTATTCTACGAAATCCCAGAATATCCGGATATTCCTCGGGACCATATCCGGATATCTCACTGGACATATCCGGATAGGCAATATCCGGATATCCAGAATCCCATATCCGGATATCTGATATCCGGATACTCAAAACCCATATCCTGATATCACATATCCGGATATTTCTCGGGCACATATCCGAATATTTCACGATAGAATGCAGAAAATGCATTTCGTGAAGATATCCTTCCAAGGTTCCATTTTTAACACTTAATTACGTTAAAGCATGCATCTTTATACTGATTAAGGTCCACACCCCAGTTGGTTACTTGATTAACCCTTTAAACATGCAAAGATCACACCTTTAATCCATAAAAACACAAGCTCAAGGTAGGTACAACTTACCAAAGCTCAAAACAGAGGTTGGAGGTGCTCTTGGAGCTCACAATCAGCTCCCAAGGTGCTGACTTCAAGGGTGCACGAAAATACCACCCAAGCAAGGATCTTTCTTCACAAAGGAAGCTCCCTGAAGCCTCACAAGCCAAGAACAACACTCCTCAACAAGAATGCCACCAAACCAGAAAACAACTCAGCTCCCACAGCCACCACAACTCAGAAAAGGTGCTCACTCACAAAGATGATTCCCACTCACCCAAGGTGTTTTAGTGAAGAAAAGGAGAAGAAAGGCTACAAGGGAGGTTACACAAAGGTGGAGAAGTCCAAGGCAGCAGCCACCAGCTCCAAACTCACGTAGAGAATGTAATATGGCCTAGGATTTAGTGCCCACTAAGGCTTATATAGTGGTTTAACAATTAAACACACAGTATTAACTTTAATTGCTATGCTTAGCATTTTAATCCCAAACTTTGAAATCTGAAAGTACACAATTTTCTAAGATTTATCATATTTTTCTTATAATTTTCTGAGCACCTTTGCGATACGCGCTTTTCCAAGCCAGTACCGGTTTCTAGCACCAGTTCTCATTATCTGGACTTGAAACTCATTTTAAAACTCCTATATATTATTCTAGTAATTAAAATGCGCTTACTTTAATTTTTCGGGATACTTTTTCGGTACTCATTTATACTGACTAGCAGAACCGGTATCTGCACTTTTCTTTCGAAAAACGACTTTCAACATTATTACTCACTTACTATAATTATTAAAGCCTCATAATAATTATTAGGGTCAATTATGGAATCATTTCCTATTTTCTCATAATTTAATAATTAAATTTCTTAATTAACGGTGCAGGTTCTTACACAAGTCTCCAAGAATTCTCTCAATTCTCTGATTCTCGCAATTTCGTCCAACCAAAGATAATTTCTTCTGGGAGTCTAATCCTCTATTTATAGAGTTTATGTCTTGCATATAAATCTTGATTTAAATCCATAGCTTGTATCTGGGTCCAATCTGTTCGGATTCATCCTGAGATTTGTTACTGATTTGTTCTGCACCTCCCACGCTACTAGCATGGATCCCACGCTGATAGGGTGGGAGTTTTGTTCACATTACTGGAGTTTCACGCAACTAGCGTGGTTACCACGATGTCAGCGTGAGTGGCAATATTGGTTGACGCTACTAGCGCGAGTTCCACGCTAGTAGCGTGGATGTCTCTGTATGAAAATTGCTTCATGTGCTGCTAGCGCGAATATCACGCTGTCAGCGTGGTTGTCTCTGTCTAAAAAGCCTTCTTCACGCTGTCAGCGCCACACCCACGCTATCAGCGTGGGCCTTTAGTTTGGTAATTTCCAATTGGGCTCTAGTTTGTCTGTTTTTCCTACGAAATCAGTAGAAAATCAGTTGTACAATCTTTGTTTGAGATTTTAACAAATCAACAGTAAATATTGCCTTTTTACTCAGGATTAACCAATATTCTTTCTCTTTTTGGCTTGGTTTTACCCATATGCTGGATGCATATTAGGAGCTAATTGATCTAGCTAGGGATTCTTCCAAAATCTTTTTAAGGAAAGTACTAAAGAGTCAGTTTGGTTTCAAACCAATAACTCTTGGCCAACAATCAGGGAGGATCAAATTGGTAATCTTTCGTTGGTTATTTCTCTTGAGGAAGTGAATAGGGCCTTCTTCCAAATGCCTCCCTTGAGAGCCCCTGGATCAGATGGGTTTCCAGCCTGGTTTTATCATAGAAATTGGGAGATTCTCAAGACTCAAATCTAAAACAGTATGCAGTTTTATTTCCAGCATCCAGATCGGATAGGTGAGTTAAATCATACACTTATTGTTCTAGTTCCCAAAGTTGAAAGACCTTGTTTGATGAAGCAATACAGGCCAATAGCCCTTTGTAATTCTGTGTACAAGGGACTTAGCAAATTTCTTGCTAACAAAATTAAACCTCTTCTTGCGGAGCTTGTATCTCCAAATCAGGTCAGTTTTGTGCCTAAGAGACATATCCAGGACAATATCATAATTGTTCAAGAACTCATCCATTCTATGCATAGAATGAAAGGAAAAAAGAGCTTCTTATCTATTAAGATTGATTTAGAAAAGGCTTATGACAAGCTTAATTGAAAGTTTATCAGAGCAGTGTTGGAAGATTTGAAGTTACCAGGGGATATGGTAGGAGCTATAATGGGTTGTGTGACTAGTCATGTCTTAGAGGTTCTTTGGAATGCAGTTAGAAACCTTAACTTTCAATCTCAGAGGGGAATTAGACAAGGGGATCCAATATCCCCTTATCTTTTTGTTCTCTGTATGGAGAAGTTAACCCATTTAATCATGGATGAAGTGGAGGTGAAGAACTGGCAACCAATTAGAGCAGGCAAATCTGAACCTCCCATCTCCCATCTTATGTTTGCTGATGACATCATTCTCTTCGCTGAAGCTTCTCTAAGCCAATTAAATTGTATTGCTCACTTCCTGCAAAAGTTCTCAAAGATGTCTGGACAATGTGTGAGTAATATAAAAGTCCTACATTTAATTTTCCAAGAATGTTCCCTAGGAGGTTGTGAAGTCCATTATTGATGTTAGTGGGTTCAAAAAGGTTAATAACCTTGGCAGTTATTTGGGATCTCTGATGAGACATGGTAGAATAAGAAAGGATCACTATGCTGATGTAATTTCCAGAGTCCAGAATAGGCTTCAAGGTTGGAAATCCAAAAGTCTGTCTCTGGCAGGCAGAATCACATTAGCTAAAAGTGTAATTTCAGCTATTCGATCACATGCAGAACAATACTCTTCCTGTTCATGTTTGCCAAGATATTGAAAAGCTGCAAAGAAACTTTACTTGGGGAGACCTAGATTCTAAAAGAAGAGCTCATGACGTAGCCTGGGAGCATCTATGTCAGCCAATGGATTGTGGTGGTCTTGGCATTATCAACCTCAGGATACAAAATGAAGCTTTTATGCAGAAGCTGGCTTGGCAACTTATCAAAGACCAGAATAGTCTTTGGGCTCAGGTACTACTAGGCAAGTATGGTAGGAACCATGATCCTAACCGTAGCTTGATAGCAAAACTGAGTGATTCTACATTGTGGAAGAATATTTGTATAGCTAGAACTAAGTTGTCCCAGCATCTAGAGTGGGTGGTTGAGAATGGAAAAACAGCTTGTTTCTGGACAGACTACTGGGGAGATTGGCAAAGCACTCTGCTTGAACTTGCTTCAGTCAAACCTCCTATATCTGACCTAGTTCTCAAAGTTTGTGATGTAGTTGATCCAAGCACAAATGGTTGGAATTGGAATTATCTGGAAAAATACTTTGATGCTTTTATTTGCAGCAAGCTGAGCAAATATTCCTCCCCTATTCTCAGCAACTCAGATGACTGGCTCAATTGGAAGAAGAGTATTCCAGGTAAATCTATTGTGAAGAATGCTTACTGCTAACTGATGAACTCCGGTTATGAGAAGGACATAATTTGGTCAGCAATATGGTAGTGGAGAGGTCTTTATAGAATAGCAGTCTTCATATGTTTCGCATGTCTTAATAAGCTCCATGTCAGAAGCATTACTTGTCACTGGAGTGGAGGGGAGGTGAAATGTCCCACCTGGTTTATGGATCAAGAAACTTTAATCCATACCCTTAGAGATTGCAAAGATGCTAGGAGTATATGGGAGAGATGGTTTGCTGGTAAAATCCCTAAAAACTTCCTAAATGCAGAAGGTTTAGAGTGGTTTAGGCTAAATTTATATAAGCCATTTACTTCTCATCTCTAACACTCGTGGATAGAAATTTTTTTTATGACCTGCTAGTTCTTATGGCAATGGAGGAATTCCACTGTTCATGATGAGTTATTTTCAAGACCTCAAGATCCAATACACAGGATTCTGAGTTATCTTGCTGACATGAAGAAAAGTGGCACTACTGATCCATTCTCTACTCTGCCTAAATCTCCTAATTATTCTGGTAGTTCTGGCCAGATGGTATCCCAAAAAGGAGTAAAACAATTTGTCGATGGTGCTGTCAACCTATCAACCCACATAGATGCTTGTGGAGGTTTCGCTTACTCTTCGAATGGAGAATGGCTGAGTGGGTTCTCTTCCAACATAGGATCTTGCTTGTCCCTGGAAGCTGAACTATGGGGTATCCTTCAAGGCCTCAAGCTAGCTGGTCATCTAAATTGCTCTAATGTCTCGCTTGGATGTGATAGTAAAGAGGCCATACTCTGTATAGAGTCTAAATTTGATCTGTGTGGCTTCTCATCCTTAATTGATAGAATCAAAAAAGCTGCTCACTCTTTTGAGCAAATTCGTTTGGAGTATATGCCTAGAGAATTGAATGGTTGTGCAGATAGATTAGCTAAGTTAGGTTTTAACTACAAGGGTGAAGAGTTGAGGGTATTTTCCTCCCACTGTTAGCATTGAGTCTCTTTGGAATTCTTTTTGCTTGAACTTGCTGATGGAGCATGTGTCTTTAAACATGCATCAGCTGTCTGTTTAGTGTTCTTGGGCCAGGCCCTCCCTTTATATCAAAAAAAAAAACTTGTATCTAATTAAGGAGAAATAATCCAACAATGAATATGACAAATTAAATTAATGGCAAGTATTATGAATCTCATGCCATTGAAATTAACCTCACTATTGAGGCTAACAATATCTTTGTTGATTATTGCTCCTAAAGTAGCAAAATCTGAATTATTTTATCATTTGCATATATACAAAATGATTTTTATACCCCCATATGTGATGCATGTAATCACACATATTGATTTGGAGGAAGCCAATTTCAATACAATAATTGGCAATATAAAAATTAATTAAAAGCTCTAGAAGAGCTAATTTGTGATTACCAAGGGGAACCAAATTGGCTATAAATGATATCTTCCGGTTAGAAAAACATGACCGGTTGGATCATTCGGATCAAATATGACGCAAAAAATTATTGAAAATTCACATGATCATGCATTGAAGAACAAGAAGATTCTTCAATTTATTGAATTTCATGTACTGCTAGTTCCCAGGAGAAATTATCACCAGCTAAAAAGTTGAGATTCAATCTCTTGCATTTTAAAAATGCATATAGGGTGAAATATATGAGCTCATTCACCCATCATGTGAACCTTTCAAATATTATGAATTTAATATATGCATCTACAAAATGGCCACATATATGTCTATTATCAACTCACATCTTGTCATCTGCAAGATTGTTTGCTCAAATGATAATATTAAGAGCACAATAAAGATAATTCATCTTCATAATGCTGATGGATTTATTTATTAGAAGAATTATTAAATGTCTCCAATTGATTGCTATAACATTGCCTGTGAGAACAAAGCTCCCTATTTTTGCATAGGAATATACTATATTTTATGCAGCAATACTTGTACACATCATGCCAATAAGTAGTCATCTCCCCATTACATTGGCTTATGGTCAGGAGCCAAATAATATTTTTGATGTACGAATTATATTCTAATTACTCCACCATAATGCATAAAGATGAATCCCAAATACAGTTGGGAATATATGTTGGATATGAATCTCCTTAAATAATATATTGAAACAATGGTTGGAGATTTAGTGGATTATTGTTATCAGTTTTTCCAACATAAGGGGGGAGAATAAACAGTTAAAAAATACATAATGCATTATCATTATCTCATATAGATCCTCACACCAAGGAAATATGAGAAAAAAATATATTATATATTGACTGCCAGATGCTTTAACTGACCAATAGGTATAATATTCCAACTGTAAATGCTCCAATTCATATTGTACATAAAAAAATAATCGGTTCCAAATATAAAAATCCTCAAAAGGGGAGAAAAGGAGCAAATGATTAAGATGGTCATAATATGGAGATAATTCTTAATCCTAAAGACATAACTTTCATTAAACCTCGAGGAGGTTCAGGTACCTGAAAATAATAAAAATAAAGAGATCTCTCTTAGTTATGTCATTTCATGAAAAAATTGGAACCATAAAGATATAGTTGTCGTCAACATTTTTGCAAATAATGAAATATTGAACAAGACGAGGATCTTGAAGAAATTTTCTTTTATTTATGAATAAAAAAATAATTGGCTAAAATATAAAGACGCAGTTCATATTTAAAGTTTTTTGGACATAGAATCCAAATACATGAAGGTGTAAAGCCAGTGGGGTACAAATGTGCAAAAATTATAATGAGAAAAATGAAGTCGTAAAAATATAAAACACAACTTGTAGTATAATAATTTTCACAAAAGCCTGGCATTTATTATATGAAATATATGTATTATCTTGTGGTGGATACGTTCACCTTCACATATCTTACTAATCTGGCAGTATATGAAAAATTGACATGCGTCTAATAGATGTTATTATAGTTTATTTATGTGACTTATTTGATCAATAGTGAAATATATATCCTAGAAGGATTTAAAACTCTTGAAGCATATAAGAATTTTCGACAAATTTTTTGAATAAAGCTTCAAATATCGGTAAATGGATTAAAGAAATAAAGGGGTATATGGTATAATCGCCTTGATAAAATATTTATCAGTTGACTTATAATTTAAAGAGATTGTACATGGATAAAGCAAATCCATTGAGTACCCCAATAGTTGTGAGATCGCTCGACATAAATAAAATATATATTTCACCATCATGAAAAATAATTTTCGAATCTTGAAATGCCAATAGGGCATAATATATAGCGTGATAAAGGAGATTAATTATAGGGCTCAGTTAAGCGGGAGATATTATGATGATATTTACTCATACGATAACTACAATAAATATTCAAAGGGAGAGTTATAAGAATTGTACTCTTTTTTCCTTCACCAAGTTTTTATCCCAGTGGATTTTTCTTGTGAAAGTTTTTAATGAGGCAATCTATTAGCGTATGACTAAGAGTGAACATCCAAGGGAGACTTATGAAACTATCAAATAAGTGGATGTTCAACTTTCCAACCCCGAATCTTCTCCCTTTTTTACCCTCACATTTTTACTTTCTTATTTGTAAGTCTATTAGCAGGATTATACTCTTATCCAACACAAAGTTACTAGAATAATTACAATGCTGGTTATTTACTTGAGCCACACAAAGGCAGATCCCAAACAAGATTTCGATCACAAGTGGAAGCATAATTATTTCATGGCGTTCAACAAATTCGTGATAATTTGGCAGATTTATTTACCAAGGCATTACCTACTTCAAGTTTTGAGAATCTTTTATACAAGATCGAGATGCGTAAACTCAAAGATATTAAATAATGTAATCATTAGGGGAGTAAAATATGTGATGCACCCTTTTTTTCTTAACCATGGTTTTGTCCCATTGGATTTTCCTAGTAAGGTTTTTAATGAGGCAGCCTCTAATACGTATTTCTTTTCAATAGAATCGTTGGACATCCAAGGAGAGTGTTATAAATAATATTGATTGTTGGTTGTGCATGAGCATTGAATGTTCTGTAACCACTAAATAAGTAATTATGGTCATTTATCATTTATAATCATCCTTGTCTTGTGAGCCTATAAATAGAAGCATCAAAGGTCATGATAATACAATAAAAATAGATTTTCCCTATCTCTCTCTTATCTCCATATTTTCTCTCAATTATCTATATTTATTTTACAACAGATCTACCTAATTTTTTCTCCTTTTGAAAAAAGGTCTCAATAAAAAAGAGGAAAATATGTTTACCAAAAAAAAAAAATGTAAACACGTGTATAGATAGATGATATTTCCCCTAAAAAGTTAGGGAAAAAAAAAGTGAATTTAGTCTACTTTTAAGTGAGATTCATTTTTGGAGAAGATTATATTTACAAACTTTTTGTTTACAAACTATACTAAGTATGACCGGTCATACTTCAATCAAGAGTGTATGACCGGTCATACTTAGTGTAATTTGTAAAAAAAAGTTTGTAAATGGATCCTTCCTCTTCATTTTTATTGAATGAATCGAAACAAAAAGAGAAAATGTCCTTTCCCTTTTATATATATTGACACGTTCCCTCTCTCTCTCTCACTCTCTTTTTACAAGTATGAACTGTTTCTTTGATTTGTGTTTCTTTCCGTCCAAACAAGATAATAAATATGGAAAACAATTTATTTTTTTAAATAACACAAGTTATGTTATTTCATTCTCACAAAAAAGTAAAATTACATTTTTATTTTTTTGTCAATTCTCTCCCCCTCAATAATTTTTTTTCTCACTTAAAATGACACAATTTTACCTCCTTTAAAATGACATACATTTCCCCAATAAATATGTGGGTTATATTAATCTTATGTTGCTGGAGAGAAGTTATCTCCAGCTGACACATGCTTTTCAGAATACAGAATACAGAACTGTATCCTATAAAACATGTGACTACAACATATAACTTCTCTTTCCTGCGGCTGAAGAGTAACTGTTCCCTAAATATATATTCCCTTGGTTGTTAACTTGTTATTCATTTTTCATTAATGTAGTTGTACAGAAATTGAAAAATTAATTAAATTTAATTGAATTATCCTTTATTAAAATGCCAATCATGTTATTATCTCTATTAAACTTCTCTCTCACTTATTAATATCAAGTGTAAAGTTAAAAAAAATTAATGCTTCATTAAATTTGAAAAATGAAAATAAAATGAAGTAAAATAATACTATTATAAGATAAAAAGAAACGAAGGAGCAGTAGAGTGGTGGTATCTACGGCTGCTAAACGAATCAGGGGCCTTTGGCTCGATTCGTGAAAGTCTGAGTTTACATGTCTAAAATTGATTGTTGGAATCAGGCTTGGACTTGTATAAAAGCTCGTTTAATAAAAATGCCTCATTCTACAATTGAGAAGCTCGGCCTTAGAGTCTCTCAGGCTAGCCTAATATATTAATTTTTTTTTATTTTATATCTTTTATATTGCTTGTAATAGCCCTCTCTCTTCATCAATCCATTTCGCCCCATTTTATTGGTTAAACATACTTTTTGAATGATTTTGTTCTATATTATGTTGTTTAGATATACATTGAATTTATGAATATTTATGGAATTACTAGTGTTGTTGATTGTATATTCTGTTTAGATACATTTTTGTTGTCTTATATTTTTAAACAAGCTAAACCAGACTTTTATTTTTTGTAAATGAGCCAGGCCACAGGCCGATAATTGTATTCATAACAGGTAACAAGTTTGATCAGACTGACACATTTAAACTCAGACTTAGTCTCTTAAGACCAATGCTCGGCTCGGCTCAGCCCAAAATTTCACAAATCGATCTAATTTATATTATTAAACTTTCTCCCACCGTTAACACCGCTGGTGGTATCCTCCTAACATCCCTTGATTAGTAGAGTGGTGGTATTTTTTAATATCTCGGGAACCTAATTGATATTGAATATTTAAGATATTATTTTATTTATTCTCCGTACAAGAATTAAAACCTTTTATTAAATAAGCATGATTATAAATAAAAATAAGTGCAATTTATCATCAGAAAAATATTTCTGCAGTTAATACAGATAAGTTATCTGTATTTACTTCCAAAACGACATCATTTTGGGATTGAAAGATTTAAAAATAATAACCCTGAAATAAATTAAAATTACAAAAATATCATGCTTTCCGTCTAAAAACGACGTCGTATTGGGCTTACTGCAGATAACTTATCTGCAGTAACCGCAGAAAAAGAGAATCCATTTATCATTCCACTAATATTTTCTATAACTTATGAATATAAAAAATAAAGTTAAAAAAAATTAATAAGTCATTAATTTTCTAAAACTAAAGATAAAATAGGACAGATACATTTTTTAAGCAACTAATAAAAGTGGACGAAGGATATATGTGAATATAATTATTTTAAGATTATTGTTGACTAATGCCTTAAGGTAATTATTAAGGAATATTTAATATCTTTATTATATATTTGTTAATATTTAAATGAAATACAGGATTAAATGTTTTCAAACTCTTTTATTTATAAATGGCTTTCTTCTCATTTCATTTTCATTTTTATTTCTTTAATTAAATACCTTATGGACATTCTTTAACAATAAAGAGAAATGATACATAGAAAATTGCTCTCACATGCATCCCATATTGCTAACAATGGTAATCCTTAACAATTTGATGTTCCGTCACATTCAAAGTTCAGAGAATCTGCATGAAGGAAATGAATTATGTTTCATGTTATTTGTTGTTTTAGAAATTATAGAGGACGATTTTGGAGCAATTAAGCTGCTGTTTGTGAAAGAAAAGTCAACGGTATAAGTCAGGCCTCAGGAATTTACGGGGAGTTTCTTAATAAAAATTTTTATTATAAAAAACTCAAAAGTTATTTATTATTGATAAATATCTTTACAACTTCTTAATACCTTTACAACTTCCATTTTTCCTCTATACTATTGATAAGTTGGTTACTTGTAATGGTTGACACTTGACAGGCATGCTTGAAAACGTTAGAAAAAAATATCGGGATAAACAATCCAAGTCAAGTGCAACATATAAATAATCATTTAAATCTTAATTCTTAAAATGAATGGGATTTGATTTTGATCAACTGATAAAGAATTTTATATTAAGGACATCAGTAAACCATGCAATTAATGCCTACCTAATTAACTGTTAGTTTGTTACTTCAATTTAGGTAAAAAAAAAAAAGTGTGTATCATTTTATAAAGAAAAATTCACTTTTTCTACAATTACGACAGATAAGTTATATGTAGTAAGTCCAATATGACTTCGTTTTAGAGCGAAAATCATAGTGTTTTTGTAATTTTAATTTATTTCAAGTATATTATAATCTTTATAATTATAATTTTTTATCTTTCAATTCTAAAACGACGTCGTTTTGAAAGTAAATGCAGATAAAGTATCTTCAATAACTGCAGAAATATTTTTCTGTTTAAAAAATGTAAAATTATGTCATTTAAGTGAGAGAAAGGGATAAGATCATGGAAGGGAGAGAGTGAAAAAAAAAGTAAAGATGTGAGTTCCACCTCTTTGTGAGAGTGAAATGACACAAGTTATGTCATTTAAAACGACAAACACTTTTCCCATGTTTTAAATTAGTAAAATACCAAATATAATCTCACATGTACATTATTCACAAGCAGTCAAGCACAAGCGTGTCTATTGTACAATTTGTTCCCAATTTTCCCAAAAGCACCACAAAGAGATACTAGAGAATGAATATCTGGTTAATGTTGATCCAAGTGATCGTAGTCACACACATAACACCAACCGATATTATCACCAATCTCCCAATATGCACACATAAAATCTGCAAGCTCTAAAGCTACCTTTCATATTGTTGCAAGCCCAAGAAACTATAGTTCTGGAACCCACCTTTGGGATGACTGAAGGTAGTTTGCTTTGTGGGAAGAAACTTATTTCCAGATTCATCTGTATAAGTCTCGAGACCACAAGAATTGCAAAGGGATTCTAAATCTGATTCCTGTCATACAGAGTTGAAAATAGAATATAGCCAGAATGTGTGTAAAGATCAACTTATATTTGACATAACAAAACTAATATTACAGCTAAGATTGATACACTAAGGTAGAACTGCTAAAAAAATTCACTGTTAGATTGATAAACCCCATTATGAAGTTAAAAGATTACGGCTGTGTTTGATTCGCTAAAAAATAAGGAACATCTCATTCCAAACAAAATTGTCCTTTGTTTAATTGTTCAAATAGTACAACTGTACAAGTATTGGACAATTAGAAACTCAAGGAGCAATACAAATCCATAAACTAGGTTATAAATCTTGTTCACAGCACAAAACTAGAAAAAGACAAATAATCCCTACCCCTTCATCATGCTAACTTTACTGCGCACAAAACAATGCATTACACAAAGGGTATTATAATAATATTTGCACTATTCTATCCATGGATATCACATTATTATTATTATTATTTTGTAGATTAGGATATCACATTATTTTTAGTCCTGCACATCCGTCATCAAACAGCAAACAACACAATTATTTTGTGACTCAACCATTTATACTGTACTGTTTTGTTTGTACTGTCTCTCAATATGGATCAAATGCAACCTACATATAACCATTTATACAATTGTTAACAATCCTCAGTGTGTTTGTTTGCGCATGTTTAGGTGTTTCTGTACACTCCAGAGAAGACAACAGAATTCATACCTTTAGCATGAGGTATTTTGAAAGGTCGAACAGAGGATATGGATGAAGTTTGTAGCCCCCAAAATTTATGCAAGATAAAGCCAGCGCACGAACCTTTTACCAAAAATAAGCAAAACCTTTATAATTGAAGATAGAAACAGATATTATGAAATGCATTGATATGTCTGCAAATAAAAGAATCCACCTCTCAAGAAGTATAAGCAAAATTTTCTCAGAAAAACAGATAACACTAGTAAACTACTTATTAAGTTTCTTCATCATTATTTCACATGCAGACAATACGCAGAAAAAAGAAAGCTGAACAAGATGCAAGAATTCGCCATAACATATGCCCTTAACAAGTTAACAAACTTCTGTAACAAGATGAACAATTGAACATTTGAACATTTGAGACAGTTCTTTATGTACTTATTTATTTATTTATTTTCACTTTTTTCTTCCTATATCATACATATTCGACAAAGTTTTACATTGCTGTCGACTGCCTAACCAAACCCTCCCCTTTTGTCCAAGTTTGCAACTAGCTAGGTAAGTTTGGCAATAAAGCACTACACAACCAGAGGAAGACCTAAGAAAACTTTAGGAGAAACTATAAATAAAAACTTTAAGTTGATTCAATGATTTATTGAAAATTTGGTTTCTTGTAGCGCCCAATGGCATCAATAGATTTATGTAGCCAACTCCACATAGTGGGATAAATCATAAATGAAAAATTGAAGGTGGAAATTTCCATTAAAGTGGTAGGAGCTGCTGGTATTTATTTTCTGAAGGGTTATTTTCCATTATCAAGACCCTCAAAAGTAGCACCTTCATCTTGTACTTCCGAGTGAGGTTATATGCACAAGGAAGATTCTTATAACACAAAGACTAACGACTGTTGCAATTTTGATTTGGAGTACACAAAATCTCGTTTGGAATTTTGGAGAAGCTGACATTTGTCTGTGATGTTAGCATCTTCAAAAGCTGAGTTGTAAGCATTTTTATCTGATTTATCAGCAAAATCTTGATAAAATAATGATGATTATGATATCAAGTTTCATGTCTTTTCCCCGCAATTCATATATCCTGTAGATCTTTAGTATTTCAGTCAACATTAACTAGCCTATTATGAGTATTCTTAAAGATGGCTATTACGATGACAAAATATGCTTCATGTTAAGATAATAAAATGCATATAAAGAAAGTAACAAGAACAAGGCAAGCAGGCATGCATCAAGTCAGACATAAAAAGAATATCTAAATAAACAAATGATAGAATATTAGGAAAAGAATGCAATCACTAGTTCCAATAATTACTTCATTGATATAAGGCTCCATAATGCAGTACTGCAGGTATGATGCCTGAGCTGCTGCAGTGTTAAAGAAATCCTTATAATTACCAAGTCGGAAAGATCTGTCAAGAGCAAAGAGAATATCCATTATTGACATGCATTCCCGGTAACTATTAAATGCAAGAAATTTCGTTAATAAAAAACCAGCAAAAAATCCATTTAATTATTAAAACCAAGAAAGTTAATGATGAGGATAAAGGTCACCGTAAGATTCTCCTAGCAAAACACATTTCTTTTGACTTCAATACTGGAGCTGATAGATGACTAAACCACAAAGAAAGTGGCTCTGCCTGTGGATCAGAAATAGCTACATTACATAACTTAAGATCCAATAGGGCAAACCTGGTGCACCAGGCTCCCCAGGAGAAAAATAATTAAACATGCCAATGATTAGAGATTAACCATTGGTTTGCTGTAAGATCCAAGATGAAGAAGCATGTATAGTGAATGGAATTCAGCTTCATTCTCATGCACATAATTTGAATTTCGATTTGCTTCATACAGATTGAATAACGATGTCAATGTCTTGGTGAGTTGTTCCATGTTGAGATGATGCAATGATGCGATGTTTGGATCACTCATAGAACACCAAAGCTTGTAATGTGACACAACATGAAACTTCACCTGCATGATTAGGCAGAGTAAGAGCTAATTGTTTATTTTTCAGTGGTGATTCTCTGATTATGGGCTGTTCTCGAGGGAGTACCCATGCTGCATTTCAGCTAGTTGGTCTTGTGTTAGCTCATAGAACAAGTTGCACTGCGGGCTGAAGTTTGTTCTGGTTTAGTTAGTGCTACGTACTGAATTCAGGAATATTACATCCTTGTATAAACCACTCCCCGTTAAACCCGACTAGCGAGTGTGGGGTGGAGGAAATCCTTGTACGCAGCCTTACCCTTGCATAATTGCAAAGAGGCTGTTTCCTGGATTCGAACCCATGACCTTTCAGTCATGAAGGAACAGCTTTACCACTGCTCCAGTTCGCCCCCTTTAATATAACATCCTTGTATGTAATACAAATTACGTAAACAAGTCACCACGGTCAATGTAATCTGGAAAAAGCATTATGCAACCCAACAGCTCGAAAACTCAAGCTACTGGGATGGGGGGGCAACTATTATGGACCTATGTAAAGCCCATATATCTAAAGTCCCAATAAAGGGCAATCACATGACAGCTAGAGAATGGTACAGTTTGGCTTGTGGATTACGAGGCCCAGAACTACTACATCCATAGATAAAACTCTATAAATAGGATATAAAACCTACAGGTATAATCTAATCTCTCTCTTACTGTTATGTTGTCTGTCACTGTGCACACATACCACCCCATTGGCTAACGCCATTATCATTGTGCACGGTGATCTACTATCTCAAGCTATCTAATTCATAGATACCTAGAGAGAGTACCAGATCTTATATTGATCTACTAGCCTTTGGCTAGACATCTCTGTCACTCAGACAGAACAATTACATTTGTTTTGTTGTTAATGGTGTTGTGATTTGAAGATTTTGGGCATTAGTAAAGGGTTTTCTTGGAATTACTAGGTGTTATGAAACTGACCCAGTGTTTAGAGAGTAGTGGTTGAGGGGCAACCGAGGATAAAATTTGAAGACTTCATAAACTATGTTGTTTGCTTTGGACCAGTTCCAAGGAGAAGATAGGAAAGGTCAAAGGGGAGAGAGAAAGGCCAAAGAGTGAGTTGTAAGTTATAGGAGCTATCTACCAAGGATGCTGCGGGGAGTACTAGTTGTTTAAGTTATTTGGTTGTGATGGGTTGTGTTATTTGTTTTATGTTCGTAGGTTTGCTACTTGTAAGCTTTGGCTTGAGAGAGAGTTTGGAGTATTATAGTTATTAGATTATTAGTCTTATTGTTATTAAGTTGGACTTGTACCAGTAGTACTAATACTTGACCTAATTATTATATAAAGAGAAGTATTAGGTTAGGATGTTGTGACACATTCCATTACATTTACATCCATCAGTCATATTTTCAGTTTACTACCATTAGCTGTCTTTCTCTCTTTTCCTTCTTACCCTAACCCTGAACTTATAATAAAAACAAAACTAATCATCAAAAATAGGTTGGAGGACCTAGGTATACCAAAGAATCATCAAAAGGCCTGGACAACGAATTCCATATAGAAACAGCAGAAAAACAATGTAAGGATAGAGATACAGAACTGATTCTGAGCAAGCACCGCATATTTTACATTGAATTGATCCAACTTACCCACTCAGGTTCATAAGGGCAGGGGATGCAATTAGTCCCCAAGTTTGATATATTTATATTACCCAGCAAGATAATCACAAATAACACTGATATATTTATATTACTTCAAGATTCTTGGACACAAACTCCTTTACAGTAATGACAGCAAATTGGAATGAACAAACGCAGACTCCACAACTTGAATACAAACTCCAATAGTAATCGATAACAGAAAATGACAAAGAAGAAAAGATAAACCAAAAGACCTCAACTCATTTCCAACCAACAAACCTAAGCCCCAAAGAGATCCCAAGAGATCCTTCCCCAAATCCCCACTCACCAAATGCTCAATTCATGCCTACCTCACTACACACACACACTCTCCTTTTATTCCCTCCTCTCAGAACATTCTAGAAACTTTCCTAACAAACTAACTAATTATCTTAGGCCCATCAGTCTAGAACTAATATTTGGAATTAAGTGTATGCAGTGAACATCAATTTCTTTATTGACATTCATCTAATGTGTTAAACGTAATTGCGCGAGAGATACATGGACCTTCGAAGTTCAAAATTTAGCTAAACCTGACGTTGCAAAACAAATCATCAGAAATGTAATTCAAACCACCTATCCTAATGTGGTTGTAAGAGAAAATTTGACCTCAACATATGATGAAAAGAATAAAGTACACAAAGAAATTTGAAAGAGAGCATTATACCATTCCCTCGTACATGTAGATTGCTTTCTTGCTCACAATATTTTGCATAGTAATATCTTGACGTATTGACCTTGTCCTATCAAAGATGAAGTCATGAACTACTTCAAACGGATGCTCTTTAGATTCCAGCAGACTCAAAAGGTAATTTAAAGTATCTTCCAATACAGTAAGAGGCCGAATATCGGATGCTTGAACATATTTGGCGGATATAGTTCTGCAAAACTGATAAGTGAAATGGAAGATTATAAGCTGTGAAACTAAAAGATATTGAATAGCAGAGAAGATAACCTTGTGTAAAAGCTACTTATATGCTATAAAACCACACAATAATGATGTATTCAAAAAATTTGACCTTCAAGAACTTAAAAAAATAAAAATAAAAAGGGGAATCACATGCTTTATAAAGTTTCAGACCATAATGCATCATGCTAAATATTGAAACACATCCTTTATACCATAATGCAGCTTGCTAGCATTAACTACGCAATAAACTAGAAGTTAATAAAGAATAAACAGGGGACAATGAAATACTGGGAGAAACGTGATATTGAAAATTCTAGTAGGCATATTTCAAATTTAGCGGCATTAACATTAAGTCAGCCAAAATGGTTGATCCTTGTTCAAGGACTAGTTAATGGCTAGTCAATCACTAACTAAATTAACCATAATTCTAAGTTTGGTTAACCTTTTCCCGGGATGGAAATTAGTTTCAAGAACTTTATTAATGAATTGGAGTTGTACCCCCCCAAAGAAATTGCAGTTTTCCCTTAAAATTTTGTGTACATCAGATTTAAGGATGTTGAAGGTACCAAAGGATCAAAAAAGAACTTCAACAGCTGCTGCTGCACAGTAGTATTAACACAAACAACCGGTAGTGAATGTGGAAGAACAATAAGCATTTTTTCCTGCTGCATATTGTACATGCTTTGAAGCTGATAGGACACACATGAAGGTGTATTCTAGAAGGCGTCACAGAGGATCAATTGATCATGAGAATATTCTAGAAAGTGGTGCAGGAAATGGGTAAAAGGATTTCTGTTGTAGGCAATTCTGTTTTGCTGACGTGGCTGTTGGTTAGTGTGTGGGGTTATATGAGACGTGAGGCATGAAGGTGTGGTAGCTTGGCAATTGGAATTGGCACTAGACTTGGAGAGCTCAGCATCTCTCTAACCTGCTGGTCCTTAGCTTTTTCTTATTAATCTTCCTTTGTAGCTTGAGTAGCAACGTGATAGTTAATTTGCCCTTATAATTTCTATTATTGTAATGCTGTTTTCTGCAATATATATGAAAAACCCAGATATTTCTCTGGACCAAAAGCTGCGCATTTCCCTTATTTCTTTAATTATCTGATCCAGTCTTATCAACTGGTACCAGAGCACTCCGATCCTAGGGGTGCTTTGGATGGTTCTTACGCGCAACATGGACAATCGGATCGAGGCAGTATAAGAAAGGATGAGGAGGAACGAGGAATTAGCAGAGGAACGTCACCAACGTCACGACAAAAGGCTGGATGAAATACTCCAACTCCTCCAGCAGGAAGGCAGACGTAGTCAGAGCAGGCATCACCGTCGTGGCCGCTCTCGACGGAGGAGCCCAGAATCGACTGAGTCTGACGATGGACCAGGGGAAGAGTTCGGTTACCATGTTGAACAGCGTCCTAATTCTAGGCTCGAAATGCCTAGGTTCTTGGGTGATGATGTTTATACATGGTTTACGAAGATCGAACGATACTTTCAGCTGATCGGGTCCTTCACAGGGATAAGGTTGGAGCGGTAATGGTGGTATTGTAAGGCTCTGCCCTGAACTGGTATCAGATTTGGGATAGAAATAACCCAAACGCATCTTGGGCGGATTTTAGAGCAGACATCTTGGAACGTTTTCAATTGGAAGTCACAGGGAGCCCATACCAGGAGCTGATCAGTTTGAGACAAACCGGAGATGTGGCAACTTATCGAGCAAAATTTGAAAGGATCATTAGCACCTTGCATTATGCGGATGATCAAATGCTCAGGGAGATTTGGCTACATGGGATCTGCGATAGCTTTCGCACAGAGCTTTTGCAAAAGAATATTGATGATTTAACGAAGATGACGAAGGAGACGTCGTTGACAGAAAGGAGGAATTTGGCTTGGATCAACGATGGGTTTAGGGTTGGAGGCCAAATGAAATGGGCCGTGTGACGCAGCCCAACAGAGTGGTTCAAGGCGGATCTGTTAGTAAGCACGTGATCACTAACCCAAACCACACACGTTCCTCTGTTGCGTCTTCAGTGAATAACACATATACAAATGCTCAAGCGCATGTCAATGAAACCGGAATTGGGGCCAAACGAACCCTAGAAGGTTCAGGAAGCAATAATCAAAAAACGGAGGGGCGAAGATTGACGCAAGCGGAGCTCCAAGATCGCATGCGTAGAAGGGTCTGTTTCAAATGTGAGGGTTCGTGGGACGCAACCCATCGTTGCACAGTCCCACAACTCCATTTGTTGGTGGTGGAAGAAGACGATAAGGAGCATCAAAGTACACGGCGTCGAAGAGACAGTGGAAGACGAATCGAAGGGCGTCATGGAAGCTTTACAACTCTCCATGTATAGTGTGTTAGGGCTCTCTTCGAACCAAACGATGAAGCTGTGGGGGACCATGCAAGGCGAAAAGGTGGTCATGTTGGTCGATAGCGGAGCTACACATAATTTTGTCAGTAGAACAGTGGCAGAATGTTTGAAGCTAACAATTGAAGAAACACCTGAATACAAGGTAGAGGTTGTGGATGGTTAGAAGATAGGAAGTCGTGGGCTCTGCAAAGACGTTAAGCTTCGAATTCAAGGTACAGAAACTCTTCAAGATCTGTTTCTGTTCGATTTGGGAGGTGCTGAGGTAATCTTAGGGCTTGATTGGCTACGAGGGTTGGGGGAGATTAAGGCAGATTTTAACAAGCTCACTCTGAAATACAACGCTGATGGGCGAGAGGTAACGCTTAAGAGAGACCCGTCTTTGTCATGCAGAAAATCTTTGATCTTTGTTCGTTCCACAATCAAGGCTCTGGCAGAGGAGGGATAAGGATACTTGGTAGATCAGTATTGGGCAACAAACTCGAAGCAGGAGCCAGAACCACGATGGAGGGAACTGGATCAGTTACTGGCCGAATTTGAAGAGGTGTTCAGCGAACCAAAGGGCCTCCCACCCAGCTGTAAACATGATCACGCCATCAATCTCAAACCCGGCAGCGAGGTACCCAACATAAGACCCTACAGGTATCTGCAATATCAAAAATCTTTAATAGAGAACTTAGTCTCTAAATTGTTGAGTTCTGGGATGATAAGACCTAGTGTTAGCCCGTACTCCAGCCCTGTAATTTTAGTGAGAAAAAAGATGGAAGTTGGAGGGTATGTGTTGATTACAGAGCCCTCAACAAACTCATAATACTAGACAAATTCCTTATCCCAGTCATTGAAGAGCTCTTGGATGAGTTGGGAGGTTCACAAATATATTCCAAACTGGACCTTAAATCTGGTTATCACCAGATTCGTATGAAAGAGGAGGATATACCTAAGACGGCCTTCAGGACACATGAAGGCCATTATGAGTATTTGGTGATGCCTTTTGGGCTCACTAATGCCCCCTCCACTTTTCAATCTCTGATGAATGAGGTTCTGAAGCCTTTTTTGCGAAAATTTGTATTAGTCTTTTTTGATGATATACTTATTTATAGTCATAACAAGGCTGATCATTTGGGTCACTTACGTTTGGTTCTTGAAGTTTTAAGGGAACATTGTTTGGTTGCAAATAAAAAAAAAATGCAGTTTTGCTCAGCCGCAAATTGAGTATTTAGGCCACCTTATATCTTGTGAAGGGGTTGAGGCTGATCCTAAAAAAATTGAAGCCATGATGAATTGGCCACCACCCAAGGACCTCAAAGGATTGCGAGGAATTTTGGGACTCACTGGATATTACAGAAAGTTTGTGCAGGGTTATGGTAAATTGGCAAAACCCCTAGCAGATTTGCTTAAGAAGGACTGTTTTGATTTGACTGCAGAGGCTCAAATTACCTTTGATAAGTTGAAGGAGACGATGTGTTCTGTTCCTGTCCTGGCTTTGCAGGATTTCACTATGCCCTTTACTGTGATTACAGACGCATCTGGAAGAGGTGTAGGGGTTGTTCTTACGCAGGAAGACCGCCCAATAAGCTACATCAGCCAAGCTTTTTCACCCCGGGCTCAGGAAAAATCCATCTATGAGAAGGAATTGATGGCAATTGTGTTTGCTGTACAAAAATGGAGACCATACTTGTTGGGGAGGCATTTTATTATTAAAACTGATCAGAAAAGTTTAAAATTTTGACTGATCAAAGGCTATTGGGTGAGGACCAGCAGAAGTGGATTTCCAAACTCCTTGGCTACGATTTCGAGATTCAATATCAACCGGGAAAAGAGAATGTGGTTGCCGATGGGTTATCTCGGAATTTCCAGTTATTATCCTTGTCTTGCATTGATTCAAACACCTTTGAAGAGGTAGACTCAGAGTTGCAGCTAGATGAGAAAATGAAGGGCATCATACAAGATCTGGTGGTAAACCCACATGCACATTCGGGTTTCAGCTTACAAGGAGGGCGTTTGTTTTATAACGGCAGACTCGTTTTGGCAAAAACATCTAGGTTCATTCCTATTATAATGAAAGAGTTTCATGATTCCTGCATAAGGGGGCATTCAAGATTCTTAAGAACCTTTAAACGGATTGCTGGTTTATTGTTTTGGGAAGGCATGAGAAGGTATATCAAAGAGTATGTTGTTGCCTGTCCAGTTTGTCAGCAAAATAAATCTCAGAATTTATCTCCTGCAGGTTTATTACAATCGCTGCCTATCCCTTCTCAAGTTTGGAGAGACATTTCAATTGATTTTGTGGGTGGTTTGCCAAAAACCCAAGGGGTTGATACAATCTTTGTGGTGGTAGACAGATTGTCCAAATATGCACACTTCCTCCCTTTAGCACACCCCTATACTGCCAAAGAAGTGGCATTACTATTCATCAAGGAGATAGTAAGCCTACATGGTTTTTCTTCTTCCATAGTCAGTGACCGTGATCTTGTCTTTATCAGCTCTTTCTGGTCTGAATTGTTCCGGTGCAGTGGTAATAAACTGAAATATAGTACGGCATATCATCCTCAATCTAACGGAAAAACGGAAGTGGTTAATAGGTGTTTTGAAAATTATCTCAGATGTTTCTGTA